GTTGTTAGGATGCTGAACAGGTTTCAGCAGAATTTTCGGAGTACAATGGACTATGAAGAAAGCCTGGCAATCTAATATTTGAAAATCAGCCAATGAAATCCCTACGATCACAAAGGTCTGATGGTCTGATCTGTAATTGATCATGAGGGTGGTGCTGGACTGGGCAGCAGAGAATTTCCAGAGGTTCAAGCCGGATTCAGAAGAGGACCTGGAATAAGAGATATTGCTGATGTCCGATGGATCTTGGCTGAAAGCAGAGACTACCAGGAAGATCCATCAGACATCAACAATATCTGTGCTTTATTGACTACGCAAAGGCTTTCAATTGTGTGGATCATGACAAGCTATGGACAACATTGTGAATATGAGTATTCTGGAACGCTTACTAGTGTTCATGAGGAATCTGTACCTGGACAAAGAGGCAGTTGTTTGAACAGAACACTGTTTAAACCATTCAAACACCGAATGGTTTAAAATTAAGAAAGGTGTGCAACAGGGTTGTATTCTTTCACCATGCTTATTCAACCTGTATGCTGAGCAAATGATCTGAGAAGCTGGGTTATATGAAGAAAAACATGGCATCAGGATTGGAGGAAGTCTCATTAACAACCTATGATATGCAGATGATACAACCTTGCTTGCTGAAAGTGAAGAGGACTTAAAATACTTATTGATGAAGATCAAAGACCATAAACTTTGGTATGGATTGCACCTCAATGTAAAGAAAACAAAAATCCTCACCGCTGGACCAATAAACAACATCCTTACCAATGAAGAAAAGATTGAAGTTGTCAAGGACTTCATTTTTCTTGGATCAACTATTAACACTCATGGAAGCAGCAGTCAAGAGATCAAACGACATATTGCATTAGGCAAATCTGCTGCACAAGATCTTTTTAAAGTGTTGAAAAGCAAAGATGTCAGCTTGAGGACTAAGGTATGCCTGACCCAAGTCATGGTATTTTCAATAACCTCATATGTATGTGAAAGCTGGACAGTGAATAAGGAAGATCATAGAAGAATTGATGCATTTGAGTTATGGTGTTGGAGGAGAATATTGAAAGTACCATGGGCTGCCAAAAGAATAAACAGATCTGTGTTAGAAGAAGTGGAGCCAGAGTGCTCCTTGGAGGCCAGTATGATGAAACTTTGTCTCTCATACCTCGGACATTTGTCAGGAAGGACCAGTCACTGGAGAAGGATATCATGTTTGGTAAGGTGGAGGGTCAATTACTGCAATTCATTTCTTTTGTATTAACTTACTTAGTGCATACCCATAGAATTTCTGGTAGTGTAGTGGTTACGAATCGGGCTGCTAATCTCACGGTCTGCAGTTGGAAAATACCAACTGTTCCGTGGGAGAAAGATGAGGCTTTCTGCTCCGGTAAAGATTTACAGCCTCGGAAACCCTGTATAGGGTCGCTATGAGTCGGAACCGACTCCAGGGCACAGAACCACCACCATCACCACCACCACCCGTAGAATAGGAGTCCTAGTGTGGTGCTTTAGGTTAACATGCTGGACTGCAAGGTTGGTTTGAATCACAAGGTCGGCGGTTCAAGCTCACCGGCTGCTCCTTGGAAACCCCACACAGAGTCTGTATAAGTCGGAACCGACTCGACGGCACTCAACAACAACAATACTTATTAGAGACTCTCCAGTTATTCCTGTTATTCTAGCATCATCACTGTCTCCAATTACTCTCCAAGTAGTCTTCAAATTGCAGAGATTGTTCTAAAATACCATTTTCATCACATAGTCTCCTGGCCCCAAGTCTTCATGATTTAGCAGGTAACATCCAATCTTCTCCCAATTAATAATCTGGCCTCAATCCTATTTTGCCCTGCTTGGCAGAGGCAAAACCCAGTAGCACTGAAGAGCACAGGCTTTGAAGTGAGACCACGTAAGTTTGAGCCCTGCCTGTAAGTATGCAATCCCTTTTTGTCTCAGTTTTATCATCAGTGAAATAAACACAATTGCACCTAACTTGGCACAGTTTGACACATAATACTCATTGCCATCAAGCCAATTCCAACTCACAGCAATTTACAGAACAGAGTAGAACTGCTCCTAAGGGTTTTTGAGACTGTAAATCTTTAGGGGAGCAGACCGCCTCTCCTTTCTACCTTGGAGGGGCTGGTGAGTTTGAACTGCAGAGCTTAAGGTTAGCTTCCCGATGCTTATTCAATGGTAACACCAATGTGTCAACGGTGATTATTATTAAAGATCTTGTGTTAAAAAGTAATACTTTTGTTGCAGGGAGGGGATTGTAATCATTGAAATAAAACAAAATGTATGATTGGTTGAAAGTAAATAATAATACTTTAGTGTTTAACATAATTTTAAAATTTCTATATTGGCTTATTTACTTTATTGTTTATGTAGGTGCCCTCCTTGAGGGCAAGAACCTTATTAGTTTTTATTTAAAATTTTATTATCAGAGAGGGGCTGTGTGCTGACGACCGGAGGCAGGTTTGTAGGGTATACAATTTGGTTGGTTGATGATGCATGGAGGGGATTGTACCCATAGCAGTGAAACGATATATGATCAGATGAATGTAAAGCTAATGTTCTTCCATGTAAACTATCACATAATTCACAATAAAACATTAAAAAAAATTATTATCAACACATACCAATGATTTGGCATATAGTAGGTGCTCACTGAATATTTGTTGACTGAATATCTTCTTAGTTGCCAAAGTCTAACATCATTCATTCATTCATTCAACATTTAGTGAGTCCATATTATGTGCCGGTCTCTCTACTAGGTGCCACTCTCTCTAAAGCATTGAGCAAAACAGTCCCAAATCCCTGTTACCTCTGAGCTAAGAGACCCAAGTCAGAATGATTCTGTTTTTAAATCTGTTCTAACATGATCCCAGCAGTTCCAAACTTGTAGAGAAAGTCTGAGGTAAAAGAAATATTTGTGTCATCAAAAATTCCAAACTTAAACATTGTCACAGAATGTGTAACTGATATGGCAAAAATGGGGGCTCTGCTGCCTGCCTAGAGGAAAGTCAATTACTTTGAGACAGGGGACTGGTAATGCAAGGTATGGCTCTGAGTATATGACTGCTAACTTCTCTGTGCCTCAGTTTGTTCTGAAAAATGGGACTAGTAACAACTTACCCGTTGGCTTCAATAGGTAAAGGAGGCTTCACTTGCACAACCAAGGCATTGAGGCAATATCCAAGGGAACTTCCATCTGTCACTGCCCTTGTCTATGCTTCTTGAGCCCTGGAAGGTGTCGTGGTTAGGAGCCGTTGAGTTGATTCCAACTCATAGTGACCCTAAGCACTACAGAATGACACTCTGCCTGGTCCTGCGTAATTCTCACAATTGTTATGCTTGAGCCTATTGTTGCTACCACTGTTTTAATCCATTACTTTGGATATATTCCTGTTTTTTGCTGACCCTCCACTTTCTCAACCATGATGTCCTTCCTCAGGTACTGGTCTCTCTTGATAACATGTCTGATAACATGAGAGATTTATTATCAATCTTTTTCACATGATCTGATATATAGTAGGTGCTCACTAAATGTTTAAGGAGCTCTGGTAGCTTAGTGGTTACAAATTGGGCTTCAAACCTCAAGGTCAGCAGTTCAAAACTACCTGCTGCTCAGCAGGAGAAAAATGAGACTTTCTGTTCCTGTAAAGATTTACAACCTCCGAAACTGAACATGGTTGCTGTGGGTCGGCACCGAGTCAACGGCACTTAACAACTACAATGGCCTTGTCTTTGGGAACCCAGAGGGCACGGCCCATTTTTTTGGCAAGACCATTGCTTCTCCTTTTCTTTGTCTCCTTGGAAGTAAGGACCACAGAGAGAGAGAATGAAAGGGAGAGACAGAGAGCTGGTTGTACTTCTTTCAACACAGATTTGTTCTTCTAGCAGTCTGTGGTAGTTTTAATATTCTTTTCCCACACTATAGTTCAAACTCATCGATTCTAATATTGTCTTCCTGATTCATTGTCCAACTTTCAGATGCATATGAAGTGATTGAAAATACCATGACTTGGATCAGGCGCACCTTAGTCCTCAACCTTTAAAAGAGGTCTTTTGCAGCAGATATGAGTAATGCAATGCTCTTTTGATTTCTTGACTGCTGTTTTTGTGTTAATTATGGATTGAAGCAAAACGAAGTCTTTGACAACTTCAATCTTTTCTCCATTTATCATGATGTCATTTATTGGTCCAGTGGTGAGTATTTTTGTTTTCTTTACATTGAGGTACAACCCATAGTTTGTTCTTCATCAGTATTTTAAGTCCTCTTCACTTCCAGCAACAGGTGTACCATCTGCATATTGCAGATTGTTAATATGTCTTCCTCCAATCTTGATGTCCCGTTTTTCTTTATATAATCCAGTTTCTTGGAGTATTTGCTTATCATACAGATTGAGTAAATTTGGTGAAAGGATACAACCCTGTTGCACATCTTTCCGGATTTTAAGCCATTCAGTACCCCTTGTTCTGTTCTAATGACAGTTTATTGTGATCTATGCACAGGTTCTTCATGAGCACAATTAACTGTTCTGAATTACCCAGTCTTTGTAATGTTATCCATACAGTTAGTATACACACAGTCGAAAGCCTTTGCATAATCAATAAAACAAGTAAACATTTTTCCTGGAAGGCATAAATGAGTTAATTCCAGACTATACATCTATCTCAGCCCTCTGAGCCTTTTGGGAAAACAGCCCCAGGCCGAGTAGCGGTGGGTAGGTACAGTTCTGAGGCCGGCTCTAGCCGTAAGGAGGCCGGGTAGCCTGACTTTTCCGCAAGTCAATTTAGCTCCCCAAGGCAGTGTTCCATCCCAGGGAGAATCTCAGCTCGGTATGCTCCTCCCCTTTCTTCTCCTCCTTCCCCAATATGGCACCGCCTCCAGGTAGCCCGGCGCGGGCCCGCCGCGCTGACGTGCGTGCGCGCGCGTACTCCGCGCCAAGCTTTGGCGCATGCGCGCTCCCCGCTGTCTTCTCTGAGCCAGAGCAGCAGCAGCGGCAGCGGCAGTGGCGGCGGCGATTCAGTGGAGGAAGATGGCGGCCCGGGGCGGCTTGGGGTCTCGCCTGCTGTGAGGACCCTCTCCCCCCCTCCCCCGAGTGCGGCAGACGCTGCCCGAGGCCGAGCGCCTCTGCCCCGGCCCTGTCCCGTACTCCGTCTTTACCGTCGCTGGCGAAGCAACCCGAGAGCGTGGTGCGGGCTGGGCCAGGTGAGGCCTCCCACCTCTGGGGACCGCGGCGGGGAGCCGGCGCTTTCTGCCCTTTATGTCCTGGACCCGCAGGGGGCAGCTGGCGCCCGAGGTTCGGCGCAGGCCAGGCAACCCTCGTGTGGTCGGTGCCGGCTGGTCGTCTCTTGCTGTCGTCTTGGGTTAGGCGGGGAGAACATTTTCTAACTAGCCCTTGGGATCAGAGCGAACCCAGCCCCTCTCCTTAAGCAGAACCGTTCTCATCCCTTCACCTGGTGTACGAAGGTGTGTGTGTAATGTATGTATGAGACCGGGGCAAGGATGGCTGTAGGGATGTCAGATATTGTCTCATCCCGCCCCCGAACCTTTAACTCCTTGTGAGAGGAACCAGAGTCGGGTACCCTCCAAAATTGAGGCTGCGACCAAGGGCCAGCATCTCTGAAGCTGTAGCTGCAAGGTGCAGATTTCGGAATTGGCTTAAAACAGCAAAACACAGCCTTTCCTAGCCTCTAGCTTTTTGAGTGTACCCTCAGATAAATCGGAACTGCGGATCTCCTTGGTTGACATAGCAATCCACGTTGTGACTGGAAGGTTTCTCCTGGTGAGAATTGTTTGCGCCAAGGGAACGGTGGAGGGTGGGAGCGTATTTATAAATGAAAACCAAAACAATGCTAAGATAACAGTCTCTGCAGAGTAACTTCATTGATAATGAAGTTCTCGATAGTTTGCAACCTTTGGATTGTTAAGAATCGGAATAACCAATTGCGTTTTCTCTTGCATTTCCTGGCTTGTTAGGAAAATGAAAGGTTCATTTCATAATTGTCAGTCTTTGGACTTTTCTGTGGTGGATTCTGATTGCTCTAGATGGAGATTCAGACACGTTAACAGTTCTCACTTGCTAGTAGCAACATTGTACTGCCCTTGTTACTGCTTTTTTGAGAACAACTTTTGCTGTTCAGCTGTTAATTTCAGACTGATTTAGTTTTTCTCGAGTAGGGAAGTTGATTTGAAGCCTGTGCTCTCTCTGAAGAATGATGGCTTCATTTAGAATTGTCCTATGGGAAATGGTTGAGGTAATGCAATTGCTTTTGCTTGGACACACCAGCTATCTTTTGTAACTTCAATTGGTTTTGCTTGTGCTTATGAATGATGACATCATGTGTTTAAAGGGATAATGAAAATTTGAGAGGAAATACCATTGTTTAGAAGCTTGTAACTTTTATTAGTGATGTTGTGTGTCAGATTCCTAACTTCGAGTGTTTTTAAATGCCATCTAGTCCAGTCGTTCTTAACTCATAGCTACCCTGTATTGATAAGGTTTCTGAGGAGCAGCTGTTGAATTTGAATCACAGACCTTGTGGTTAGCAGTCCAGTGCTCATCCTACTAGGACTGCAACGTTGAGCATAGTGATGTGTATGATTTGATGTCTTCCAATATCTGACTCAGTGGCACGAAACCAACAATATATACTATCATTTTAAACCTTTTTTGCTGTTTGGCAAACATGTTTGCTTTTTGATAAGCCCGATATAAATGTGAGAATAAATCAATCTACAATGATCCATGAGTGTTGCGTATGTCATAAAGCTTTTAAATTGTTAAATGCCAGCTTCCTAATAAGGTAACTGCTTAGTTTGAGCTAATTTCTTTGATCAGTTTTTCCATTTATATTCTTATAGCCATTTCCATAGAGATTTGTAGATTTTATGAGTATCTTTGCAAAGTACACAGACCTGAACTAACAACTTCTTTGTCATAAAAAATTGGAGAACTGCTCAAATGTATCAATTTGCTAATAGAGTCATAAAATGAATGCAGTAAAACATCCTGGTGGTTTCACATTATGCTCTTTGGCATAGTATGTTACATTGCTGTGCTAAATCATCTTCAAGTATTGATGCAACTTCATGACATCCATGATATCACTCACTCACTAGCAGTTTGACTTTTCAAATTCCTTACTGTTGTTGCAATCTCTCTCTCTCTCTCTCTCTCTCTCACACACACACACACAAACAGGATCAGGAAAATAGCTGAAGATGCTTCCTCTTCATGTCTTTGATAAGATCCAGAGCTGTATGATTTCTAACTATTGTGAAGAGTAAGCAAAGAAAATACTAACAAAATTTCTGGGTTTTATGAGAACTTAACGTCCCAAGGAGAAGTTAATTAAAAAATGACCAAATATATGATCATCTTTCTGATTTTAGGATTGTTTTAATTGGTGAATTAACAGCTCTATAAAACCAGAAATTATTAAGTTAAGTAATGCTCTTCCCAGTTTATAAAGTTGTTCTGTGCATCAAAAGAGGTAATGTTAAGGTACTTTGTAAAATGCAGAATGTTAGGCAAATGTGAGATTGATTATTCCTATTTATGAAGCACCTATTGAAAGCATCTATAGGCCAGGCATTGTGGAAAGTGGGTAGTAAAAGTCCTAAGATAAAATAGCTTTTGGTCTCAAGTTGCCTTGAAGTCTGACTTGGGAGCCGACAAGGAAAGCAATTAAGTATGGAGTACGTGCAGTGTAAGAAGTGCCTGAGCTGCATGCCTTGAGATGACACGGAATCCAACTAGGAACTCTTCTCAGAGCCGGGGTGGCTTTCCCCAACCTTCCCATTATTCTGCAGAAGTCATTGTTTTTTCTTTTTTTTTGGTGAGTGACTTGCTTTTTATAAAAACAGGCTTTTTTTGTTTTTGGTTTTTTAAAAACAATTCTGTCATAAGTTTTTTTCCCCATTTACTCATTCACTGTCATTCCACTTCCCACACAGTGTGTCCCAGTTATGGTTTCTGCATTCTCAAAAATCCATGGGAGTATTGGAAACCTTTCTAAGAGTGAGTCATATGCATAGGCAAATCACAAATATTGCAGTTGCAATTAAAATATCTTGAATTATTTAGTGGTGACAGCTTTAGGGTGATGCTTATTTTCCTCCTTTTGTAACTTAGTGAAGGAGTTTCATTTGCTCACAGTTAATAAATGGAGTTTAGTTGTCAGCTCTTTGATTAGAACACTGAATCCAGGTGGTTATTAATACTGTTTCCTTTCTCCCAATAAGTAAGTGAAATATGAGGGAGCTTCAAAAAGTTTGTAGAAAATGGAATTAAAGATGATGGAATTTTCCCACAAACTTCATGAGGCTCTTTCATATCTTTTTGAAGTTGGCAGTATAAACCAGACCTAAACTGTTTTATGTTGCTGTTGTTAAGTGACATCGAGTCGGTTCTGACTTACAGTAACTCTGTTTAGGGTTTCCAAGGAGTGACTGATAGGTTTGAACCACCATCCCTCCTGTAGTTAGCAGTTCAGTGCTTACCCTACAGAGCCTAGTTATGTGGATTGAGATTATTCAGTTTATTGAACTTCTGTACGTGCCCCAGTATAAATTTCTCATTTTAGTGTTGTTGTTGTTAAATGCCATCAAGTCAGTTCTGACCCATAGCAACCCTGTATACGGTTTCCAATAATTTAGCATCTTGTTTTTTTGTTTTTGCCTTTTCTTCTACTTTATTTCATATTCCCGCCACAATAATGACTCCTTTAATTTAAACTAAAATCCACAGAGTTTTCCTGAAAGGGTGGCAGCAAAGTAACAGGGGTGTAAAAGACTGAGGAACAGCTGGGGTGGGGAATCAGCAAATCATCTTGACTGGGCTCTTGAAGTTGCTGGCAGTTTGGAGCTGCATCTGGTAGGCCATCGGGTGGATCTTGAAACCATAGAGCCTCGGCATAAACTGGTTGGCGGGCCGCTTGGGACTATACTCGGGGTGCATCCTGAAGAACGCATGAGGAAAGCCAGTGCCGAAGTAGGCGCCGTCTGTGTGGTGATGCCTTAAAGACTTGGGTATGTACACGTCCATGCATTTGGGATAGTAGAGCTTCACCATGGCCTTACCTGGGATGTCCGACAGGCCAATGGGAAGCATTGCAAGAAAAAGTATTGCAAAATTTCTCTGAATTTTTGGATTGAATCTAAGTGGTGCTGTATTGAACATATACAGTCTATATTGTTTCTGAAAATGAGTGCTTTCAAGTTGTGATAGACAGAAAAGTGAAGGTGACAGTGTTTGTTTTAATATATTGTGACAGTATGACCTATGGGCAAGTCATTTAAAATCTTTCCACTATTAACCTCATAACACATCTTTTTAAGATTGTTTCATGTCACATTCTTAAAGTCTTGTCACATTCTTAAAGTCTTGTAAAATTACGACTTGGTGGTGGTACTAAAAACCAAATAACCAAACCCAGTGCCATCCTATTAATTCCTATTCACAGGGACCCTATATAGAGTTTCCAAGACTGTAAATCTTTATCAGAGCAGACAGCCATGTCCTTCTCCTGTGGAGTGGTTGGTGGGTTTCAACTGACAACCTTTTCTTTTAGCAGCTCAGTGCTTAATCCACAGTACTACCAGGGCTCACTGATAGTGCTGCTGTTCACTCAGCCGTGGAGTCAGTTCTGACTCATAGCGACCCTGTATAGGGTTTCTGAGGCTGTAAATCTTTATGAGAAAAAGATTGAAGTTGTCAAGGACTTCATTCTTCTTGGATCAACTATCATCAACACTCGCGGAAGCAGCAGTCAGGAGATCAGACGACGTATTGCATTGGGCAAATCTGTTGCACAGGAACTATTTCTAAAGTACTAAAGAGCAGAGATGTCAGCTTGAGGACTAAGGTCCGCCTGACCCAAGCCATGGTGTTTTCAGTAGCCTCATATGGATGCGAAAGCTGGACAGTGAATAAGGAAGATCGTAGAAGAATTGATGCCTTTGAGTTGTGGTGTTGGAGGAGAATACTGAAAGTGCCATGGACTGCCAAAAGAACCAATAGATCTGTTTTGGTAGAAGTGCAACCAGAGTGCTCCTTGGAGGCCAAGATGGCTAAGCTTCGTGTCTCATACTTTGAACATATTGTCCGGAGGTAACAGTCGCTGGAGAAGAAAGTCATGCTGGGTAAGGTGGAAGGTCAGAGAGAAAAAGGGGAAGACCCCTAACGAGATGAATTGGCCAGGTGG